ACAAAAGTAATTATCGCATCTATGACCCTTACGATGAATACGGTTACATGTTTTACACGAATTAATTTTTTGACAAGTTGATGTTTTATCCCGTTTTACGGTTGTTTTATGATTATTAAAGCACCTGTCTCTTATACACATCTAGATGTGTATAAGAGACAGAACAAGGTACTAATAAATAATTTATGTGAAATCAAAATTCTTAAACTACAAACTTAAACTACAAATAAATACAGAAAAATCATAGTTCTTAAAATGCTATTAAAAATTAAAATATAATATAAAATTTAATATATTAACAATCTCGAGCTAAAACAAGGTACTAATAAATAATTTATGTGAAATCAAAATTCTTAAACTACAAATAAATACAGAAAAATCATAGTTCTTTAAAACAATATTATGCGAATGTAAATTAGTAAATAAATGAAAAGCTGCTCTACCATACGTAACCGTATGGTAAAGTTTTAAAGTTATCAATTATTATTCGTTTATCATACACGATGCGATAATCTTTTGTAGAGGTTTCGTTAACAATTTTACGCGTCTTTGGTTTTCGAGTGATACGATTAGATTCAAAAGTCTTAATTATATCAGGACCTATACCTGTCTCTTATACACATCTAGATGTGTATAAGAGACAGCCGTAACACCATGTAATATCATCAAGTTTTTTATCGAAATAGTTATTTTGTAACAGTTTTTTCACAAAGACTGATTTCCCGGATGATGTCGGCCCACTAATTACAGCCGTAAACGGTGTTACCAGTTTGAAAGCCATTTTTATTGTGATTTAATTTAATGATTGTCTGAAGGTATAAAGTATAAGCACACACTCACAGACGCCCACCCCCACAACCCCCACTCACACACACGCGCACACACACACACTTTTTATACATACAAAAGACGGAAGAAAAAAAATCTGACAAAATGTATACGATGCACTATTTCTTTTTATTCAGATGAATATTTTTATATTGTTATTTAAAAACTCTTTTTTAATTGGAAATATAAAATTAAATATATAAACAATCTCGAACATAAACCAGGCATTGATATAAATAATTTATGTGAAATCTTAAACTTTAAAAAATGAAACCGCAAATAAATACCGAATATTTATTTGTTTCTTAAACTGCTATTAAAAATTTAAATATAACATAAAATTTAATATATTAACAATCTCGAACTAAAACAAGGTACTAATAAATAATTTATGTGAAATCAAAATTCTTAAACTACAAACTTAAACTACAAATAAATACAGAAAAATCATAGTTCTTAAAATACTATTAAAAATTAAAATATAATATAAAATTTAATATATTAACAATCTCGAGCTAAAACAAGGTACTAATAAATAATTTATGTGAAATCAAAATTCTTAAACTACAAATAAATACAGAAAAATCATAGTTCTTTAAAACAATATTATGCGAATGTAAATTAGTAAATAAATGAAAAGCTGCTCTACCATACGTAACCGTATGGTAAAGTTTTAAAGTTATCAATTATTATTCGTTTATCATACACGATGCGATAATCTTTTGTAGAGGTTTCGTTAACAATTTTACGCGTCTTTGGTTTTCGAGTGATACGATTAGATTCAACCGTCTTAATGATATCAGGACCTATACCTTTCACAATATTAGAAACAGTTTCAAAGTTAATTTTTTTAGAGTTTGCAAAATTTAAGGTTAAACCTTTAACTTTGCAAACGGTTTTTCCCGAATCTAATTTGTATGCATAATTTTTGGGGCCACCCGACACGAAGCATGAGATATACTTTCCCTCCTTCGGATCAATTTCGGACGTTAACTGACCTAAATAGTCACCGAGTGGGGGGTTCCACTCCCCAGGCTTTGTCACGTATACTACGCTGTCTGTGTCGTAGTACAAAACACGCTCTTGTAATTTCTCTAAGAGATCGTACAACTTTAACCTAGCTGATGCCGTTGTGAATGCTGCTATTGCGACATTAACTTTTCTGTTAACATCTACAAACTGTTCTTCGTTTTCGTATTTAATCTCAGCTAGGTTATCGTTGATAAAATTTATATCGTGAACAATTACCTGAGGATCGGTTAGAATATCGTATACATCGTTCGGTTCCTGTGTATATTTTGTTTTCGTTAAATTTTCTTTTTGGCCAAATTTACCCCAAAAACTATTTAGCATTAGTTTGGCTAGAGATCGTAAACACGGATTGTATTTGATATTATTTTTTTCTAGAGTAATACCCTCTACAGATTTGTAATCGTTAATATATTTTTCTTGATCTTCCGGAGTTTTACACCATTCTGGCCATCCCGATGCTTCCTGTTTCAATTTTAGAAAGGTATTGATATACTCGGTGAATAATCCCGACGAGGGTGTATCTGGGGTGTAGACGCTTTTCTCGGTGAAATGCCACGCAATGTGTACTCTTTCTATTGTGTATCCAACTTCCACGGCCTTCGACACTTCCGTCGTAACCCAAGTACCTGTAAACGATCTCTCGGTTTTTGTGTGATTACACGCTGTTTGCTGCTGCGCTTCCACACATGTTTTACACAATGGAAACGTTAATTTACCGTTTGTACGATAAGGTAAGACAGGATGGAGCAATTGTTTTGGTACTTCAATAGTACACTTGATTATACCGAAATAATCATTAATGTCAGTGGACATATTTTTGTTTGCGATTATTTCGGGGTGCCCAATTGGATAAGTTCCGTACTTATTAACGTACGGATACAGAGAAGTAAAATCCACGTAATGAATTTCTTCATCCTGTTTTACCTGATAATACAAACAAGTCGCATTAGTCCTTCCTCCAAAAAAAGCATCTCTTGGATTCAATATAGGTCTAATATACGGAACGTTAAAGAGCTGACATTTTTCTTCGGGAGTTAATGCGGCCTTAATTTTAACCCAATCGTGCTCCCACATTTCGACGTATTCAAAGTCGGGGAACTGTTGTTTAAGGAAACTAGATTTTTTATTAGTTTTTATGAAGCTTTCAATCATAGGTTCTTTCGTAAATGGGTTTTCTGCTTCAGGCCTGAAACATTTTGGACACCCATGGAATAAACACCCCATGAATTCAAATATAATTTTAGACGTAACGCACGCACCATCAACATGATATAGTCCGAAAACTTTTTCTCCGCCATTTCTGGCGCCCAATTGGATAAGTTCCGTACTTATTAACGTACGGATACAGAGAAGTAAAATCCACGTAATGAATTTCTTCATCCTGTTTTACCTGATAATACAAACAAGCCGCATTAGTCCTTCCTCCAAAAAAAGCATCTCTTGGATTCAATATAGGTCTAATATACGGAACGTTAAAGAGCTGACATTTTTCTTCGGGAGTTAATGCGGCCTTAATTTTAACCCAATCGTGCTCCCACATTTCGACGTATTCAAAGTCGGGGAACTGTTGTTTAAGGAAACTAGATTTTTTATTAGTTTTTATGAAGCTTTCAATCATAGGTTCTTTCGTAAATGGGTTTTCTGCTTCAGGCCTGAAACATTTTGGACACCCATGGAATAAACACCCCATGAATTCAAATATAATTTTAGACGTAACGCACGCACCATCAACATGATATAGTCCGAAAACTTTTTCTCCGCCATTTCTGGCGTGATGGATGAAGACCCCCCTTCTATTAGCTTCATAAGATAACCACTCTATACTCGCGTGTGAATGATTCATAGTAGTGAGATAGTTAGAGGGTGGAAATATAGCTATAGTTGATGGTTTTAAAAAATTTCTTGAATAAACATAGTTACATGCCGAAGCAATAGTCATGATTTGGTTAGAAAATGGATCAACACCACATGAATTAGGTTCGGTTTCTAGTGTTGTAACCCGAAGAAAGAGATGCCTAAACGTTAGACAACATTTTCTGAGAATATCCACATCGCTTATACAATATTCTACGAGTTCCTTTTTCAAATCGAATACGTGATTATTTTTGACTTTTTCATCGTACCATTCAAGAAAGGATTCTCTTGTAGAAACGGACATTTTTTCTGGAGTGTACAACGATGCGTCGGGATACGAACCAACATAATTTTGATTCTCAGAAGAATTAAAGAGGTGTGGGAAAAAACCTTTCTTCAACTCGTTAATGCCAAACGTTTTAGGCAATTTAGAAAGTGACATAGGAAGGAAAGAAAGAGAGTCGATAAAGCGAGTTTTAGTTTCCTTAACACGAACGCTAATTAATTTCCCTCCCCTCGAGACTACGTCAGGTAGGATTCCGTTTTTGTGTAGGTACTGGAGTATGAAGTAGCTGTCATAACCCTGAAAGTTGTGTGCTATGCAAGTTATGTTTTCGTTGTAAGCGTATTTTTTGAAAACATAATCGCAAAAATCCTGGCAAGCAGATTCACCGTAGAAAGTTAACGTTTTTTCACCGCAGATATCACACCCGTCGGAATCAACATCACACTGAATACATTCAAGACAGGTTTTCTGAAGTACACATAAATTTGGTTTGTGTTCCCCAGTTTCCTGCGTACACTCGAAATCAAAGAAAAAATATTTAGTTATGGATTTCCTAAATTCTTCTTGACTTTTAAATTTCTTTTCTTTGTTTTGTTTTCTACGATTTGTTTCATAAAGCATTCATGATCGTAGGAAACGTCTATCCTACAAACCCTACAAAAGTAATTATCGCATCTATGACCCTTACGAAGAATACGGTTACATGTTTTACACGATTATTTTTTGACAAGTGGATGTTTTATCCCGTTTTACGGTTGTTTTATGATTATTAAAGCATTGCTGATTTTTAAAAAGTCTGTTACAGTCTACACATTCTACAGAGCAATCAGAATTAACAGAGGCTGTACAATCATTAGATTTACATAAATTACACATATATTCACACGTATGTTTAAACTTGTTATTATACCCTTTTAAACATTTGTTGCAGAAATACTTAATTTCAAAAAAAGACGTGATACTAGAAATTAAATCAAAATGATTATCATGAAAATATAAATAAATTTTTTTTTGTTTAAATTCCCCACTAAATATAACAGTATTTAAATTATCTTTAGAAATAACAATGAGTTGATAATTGGGAATACTCGTCTGAAACGCTTTCAATTCGTTAATGCCACAGGGCCCCTCTCTAACCCCAGCATTTCTCAACAAATGGAGAGCAGCCCTTCCCTGTTCACATCGGCCCTTTCTCACATTATCCCATCTTTGTCTATTATTAATTTTATCCTCAATCATTGAGATCCCGGTGACGATCGCTCTGGCACAACAGATATTCTCATCCAACTCATTGTTAATTTTAATGAGACATTTACCCCCAAATTCTTTATCAATCCCTTTTCTTACCCTACCTCCCCCTATAGGCATTCTAAAATGCAAAACGTTAATTTTTAAAGTTTCATTAACAAATATATTTGCTCGAGATTGTAAGACTTTCATAATAGCGTTAAAAACAACTTCAGGGGTCATGTGATCCCTACGCCCAAAAGGTATCGATATCGGTATGTCTAAGCCCTCAGATTGAATAACCAATCTTACAAAATCATTATCCTTAATATTTTCACATACGTTATTTAGAATATGCTCGAAAATTCTGTTTAATGTTGGTAAAATATCTATCAGTCTAATATTATCTAAACCTAGTAACCTAACAGCATAATCGTTAATTTTGGCGTTAAATTTTTTATTACATCTATCTTTCAATTTTTTGATTTCACATAAATTATCTATAGGTACCTGATTAAAATCAATTCCCTGGTCATCGTCTTCTTCTCTTTCCTCCTCCGTCTCCTCCTCCTCCTCCTCTTCCTCCGCCTCTTCTCTAATTCTTTTTCCGCCTCCAAATTGAATAATACCTCTCAAATTTTTAACTGCATCTACCGCCTCAGAGCAAGCTTCCTCTAACGAATCAAAGTCCGGTAAATCAAAACCTATGTCGTGTTCTTTATTTTGATCGATTTGCTCCTCATTGTCCTCGTTTGAGGTGCGTAGATCAAGAATTGCTTGCACTGCAGCGTCACACTCCATGGTAATTCGATTATCAAAAAATATTTCGGGATTCTCTTCGGTTCCCAAAGAAGGGTGAGTATCATCGAATACGTTTTCATGATCAATTTGGGCCTCTTGATTCTCATTTGAAGCCCGTAGATTTAGAATGGCTTGTACTGCAGCCTCACACTCTATTGCCACTCTTTCATCCAAAACTAATTCGGCATTTTCTTCGACTTGTTGAGAAGGATGAGTATCGCCGACAGAATTTTCATTAACACCTTCACCATTTAAATACCTTATAAACTCAATAACCTCAGAGTAGTGCGAAGGGTGAGCATCGCCGACAGAATTTTCATCTACATTTTCACCATTTAAATATCTTATAAGGTCAATAGCCTCAGAGTAGTTAACGGTAGTAGATTCGTTGTTTCCAGCCATGTTTCGAAAAAAAAAAATACAGACAAGAACGTACTGACGTAGAGTATCGCAAACTCAAAACTTGTTTTCTTCACTATAATGGAAAGATATCAAGGTATTCCCATGTGTCCCTATTTTATAGATCCTACACTACCATCAACAAACATACGTTAATCCAAGTATTAATTCTAATTATTTACGAATTTTTTTTATTTTTATCATTATAAAATTTTATTACTACCATTATTTTAAATATATTATTTTATATGTACTGTTATTAAAACATACAACCCCCGCTTAAAACAAAGAATAAACAAACGTTACTCAGACATCACGGACCCGTACATATCACGATTTTTCATTACTCATCAGCCCTTATCTCGATGGACACGTTACTCATTGTTTAATCTCACTAAAACGTCATGTACCCGGAACTGTCTGGGTAAGTATCTCATTGGCTAACGTCATGTACCCGGAACTGTCTGGGTAAGTATCTCATTGGCTAATTTCACTATACGTCATGTACCCTCAAATCTATCGGTTTTTCATTATTCGTCATACCACGGTCAGGCCTCAACGTGTTTGGAATAATCTTTTTGAAAATCCCGCTTCCATTAATTCACTACTATAGGAAATTGTGTAGAAAAAAAAAAGATCGCCTTTTGGAGTAGGAATTTACATTACATTGGAACAGGAGTTTACATTACTATATACTATTTGTAAATACAGGATGAGAATACCCTTGTAAGTTTTTTATATTATTATTATTATTCAACGAATCTTATTGCCTGTTTTCTCCCTAACTAAACTAGACCTACTGAAAATAAGTTAGAAATTTAGATTTGTATTTTCATTTACAAATTTTCAGCTAAGTTGAATACAATTTATCACAGGTTTTTTACATTACTA